TGGACATCGCGGATATAGCACCTGTTCGCTCCGATTTGAGCAAGATTTTCACACTTTTGAATGAATTCATAAAAATTCAGTAGGTATTTTCGAATTTCAAGAATATCATTGTTGCATCTGTGGGTTGAGATCGCATTTTCGCTTATTTTTGGAGTCAAAAACGCAGGTTAAAAAAGTGACCCGCTGGAAAATATGGAGTTGTGTTTCCTAACTTGTCTATTTTTATGTGTAGTGGAGTAGGTACGGACCTCTGATTGTTAATAAAAGACTTGTTATGGGTAACAAGTGACTGTGGTTTCATTAAACAAATGCCCAATTCTGAATATAAATGTTAGTTTATGATGAATTCTAATAAGATGTATTCATCAAAATACAGTATCAAACAACAATATTGAAAAATGACATACTACATATTTAAAGTAGCGGAGGGCGCATGCTTCAGTAAGAGCTTCTACTAAGTCGACTCCACAAGTACAGCCAAAATTCGTGTTTGCGCCACCAACGTTGACAGACATAACTTCACACTCCATCAACGACAACAAACTAGTCGTACAAAAATCCATGATTTAATCTTGCAGCGCGCTCAGTATATTTATGGACATTTTCACACATTTGTAAACCGACAGTGGTGTGAATAGGCAAACGTTAGATTCAGTGTCAAATTCCTAACCAAACTAGGTATATAACTAGCATCATGGTATATTAAAGTCTCGACTGTAGATTGCTGCTCTGTCGCCAATGTATACTTAATATTACAGAATTATCGGTACCCTACCTGTCACACGTTCATGCAACTTAAATACGATGCGTAATCTCCATCACTTGGGAAAACGTTAAAACTGATACACCGTCAGTTTAACCACGCTTTCAACCTGGGCGCCATGTTAGGGGTCAAAGGTTACAAGGACCATCGATCGGAAGTGATGTCACTGATTGAGTTGCTAAAAATAGAGTTGAGAGAGTGTTTGTGTTTCACATGAAGAGAAGGACTAGTCGTCACTAGCTGTACATGTAAAGTACTCGTTTGGGCATAATAAGCTGACAGTCGACAATATTAGACACGCGACAGGAAAACAGTATTCGAGTAGTTCGCAACAGGTAAAGTTTTTGATCATTTTGAGTGGAGGTGGGACATTAGAAGACACAGAATCTGCCGTGTCGGTTTTGTCGGCTTCTGATTTGGATCATGTCCGATGTTCGCTTTCACATGGGGCAGCTGATCGGACTGTGTCAACATGGCGAGTCAAATTTTGAATGGGAATTTTGTTTACCCGTATAATGTACTCGCCGTTCACTCACATACACGATACGATCTTGAGACTCGGAAAGGAATTTCCTTACCAAAATGTACTATATGTGGAAAAAATGTGCAGCATCAACTTGGGACGGAGTTTCGATCGTCTGCAAATAATACCCCATTAAAAACTTGTTAACCGTCGATCAACGTTTTACACTGACTAACTAACGTATTATTATTATTATTTTTACGTGATATGTGTCACTTTTATACAATACAATATGCATTTAATTCAATAAAGTTCGGTGTAGAAAAACAAAAATCGGACTGCGCAAATAAAAATAAACGTGACAAAAAACATTGAATTGTCAAGTAACAACAACAGTGTACCGCGCCGCATTTATCACCTCTGTAGTCTAGAAGGATTGCGCGCCGATCAGCAATTAAATTGTCTGACTATGCTCATTTTCGGATATCATCGGTGACTTTTACTTCACTCCGTGAATTGATAAATCACATATTTAAAAGTTCAAATCATATATCTCCTGGTATGTACGCCTAGAAAAATAGAACTCGTAAAATTCAGTCTCATGGTTATTTTTGAAATACGACGTTTAATGGAAGGTAGTGGCAGATGGCTAACGGCAATTCGTCTCGATCAGAATTAGCTGCCGCTTATATTACCAAATGAGGCCAAGTGTTAAAATAATATGTCTGTTATTGAAAATGAGTCTTCACAGATTTTGACTAGATCCTATTTAAATAATAAAACTAGGTGTGGTATTATAATTTTCTGTATATAGAAAAATTCTCTTGTTATCATTAATCTCATCATCAATAATGCAATTTAAGCTTTAGTGTCAACACCGCCACTTTATATGCCAAGTTTATCCTGTGAGCTAAACTCACTATTTTTGTTTTCATTCATCAAAAATGTAGTTTAGTTCAGTTTTATTTTCACGCCACGAAGTAGGGGTTCATAGCAGAGGTTTGTGTGAGCTCGCAACAAAGCAGTTGTAAGTACCGTGGGTGTCCACCTACTTGAGTTTCATATCTACTGTATTTAAAGGTGTTTCCCCCAGTAAACCTGGTATGCAGTTAATACTAATGCCTGATAGAACATTTTTTCTCAAGCTGCTTAGTTTTGCTGATATGCACCAGAAAAGAGCTTTTCATAGAATTTTATTTTGATCATTATTTTCTTGTGTAAAAATTGAGCGAAAACCAATTATTAAGTGTTGTATTCATTGTTAGATAATTAGATTTTATATCTGAGGCAGTAACAACAACGTAAGTAACTTTAATGAAAGTTTGTTGGCCTCTGTTTCTGTAGTGGTAATGTTGTTTTGTGTCGTACCTACACAGTGCATAGTCATTTGATTCAGTCATTTGATTTTCATTGTAAAGCCTTGTCTCTTAGTCTCAGCTACACTGAAGTTAGCAAAGGCATGTATACTTTTTACCTTTTCATCACCAGATGCACTTTTTTTTTATATTCTTAAATATTTGTGGATATGATTCTTAATTTTGAAGTTAACAAAAAAAGTACGACTCAATTATCAGTTTTAAAGGATTAAAAGAAGGAACTGGAAGTGAAAAGGTTAAATATACTTTATATTTAATTTTATAAAACCATGTGTTTTCATTTGAAAACATTCCATTCAAATCAAAATGAAATGATTTGATTGGCTGGGCATGTACTTCCATCTATTCCACAAACCATCTATTCCACAAATCACTTGTGATTAATCACAGAAAGTGAAACAGCCTGCGTTACTGCACATATGCTTATACATTTCAATTTATTAATATTTAGGTCTATAAATTATTTTTATATCATACATGCCTTTGCTAACTTCAGTGTAGAACAAATTGTTACAAACCCTGGGATTTCACCTTGGATTAATTTGACATTGCATTGTTTACACCTGTTATTCTGTCTTTGTTTCTCACTGTAGTCCTAATAAAGTAAGTAAATACTAGTAGACTTTAGATTATAGGCATGGAGGCTATAGGAGTTACTGTATTTTCTCTATTAGTAGCTCATACACAAAATGACAGAAGTGTGCATGTGGTCAAAAAAAGTACTGTGGAATACTTTATTTTCGCTGGAATTAATTTTCGCTGAAAAGGCTTTTTGGGCGTTTTGCTTGGAATTTATTTTCACTGATTTTTGATGAGTTTAATGTGAAATATAGGAAAAAAAGTATATTCGCTGTATTTTATTTTTACGGAATCATCTCTTCAGCAAAAATAAATTCCAAGCGAAAATAAAGTATTCTACAGTATACAAAATCCAGTGAACAATAATTGTATTTATTGTTTATGCTTTTATTGGAGGTGTGTTTCTGATATAAATAATTAATTGTCTAGATTTTGAGCATTGAATATTCCCTTTGAAATGCATAATAAATCATAATATTGTGTTGTAGTGAAAATACCCCCCCCCCCCTCAATGCCATCAAAATACCTCCTACATTTCTACTTACAGACAACTCAGCATTTTATAATGTTTCAATTTCTGCAATAGTCAGGATTTTTTAAATACATAATTTCTTGTTGATTTGAAATCAACCCTTGTGAAAGCAGTAGACAATTAATCTGGAATTCGTCAATTATGTTTCTTGAGGACAGTGTACATTTCTACACCTTAGTCATGGTGGTCCTACCAAATTTGAGTCATCAGTTAGCACACACCTCTTTGTGTCAAGATCAGAACTATTCAGTTACCCTGTACAGTGTCAGTTGACCAGCCTTGAAAAATGGTTATTCCAAACGACCCACTTCCCAGCTTGATTTTTCTGTATTTTAATTAAGCCAATCTTCTTCTGAACCTATGCCTGCTGAGTAACTCAACTCTACTCTGTAATTATCAGACACAGGTGATCTTCTACTTCAAAAATTAATTATACACACTTATAAACGTGAAACCAGTTTTGTCTGATTAAAGTCAGAAAGTACATTCCAAGCATTCTTGAAAAGCCTTCTCGCTA